GTGCGGCATGTGGTGCCAGGGATTGAAATGAGGTCCCTGCGATTGCCTAAGCTTGCCTAAGCAGGCACTTTAGACCACTGAGCTATCTCGCCAGCCTGGAAGCAGCATTTAAAGAAAGACCTGGATTAAAGCAAGATAGACATGTGAAGAGCAGGCTGAGAAGCATAAAAAGCTTGTTAAAAAGGCATAAGGTTGGATAATCCTTGATAGGTTTCAAGAGCAGAGAAAAGGGCCAGGGCGATTGGTGGACCTGCAAGCAAGGGGAGAAGAAGTATGAGATTAGCTGGAGTGGCACCAGATTAGTCCTTAAGGAGAAAGCATACTTGACTGAGAGGAGGTAGGGAATCAGAAATTCAGTTGAAAAAGGAGTCTGGAGTTGAGAGAAGAGCCTCCTGTAGGGTTTGAATTTTTGGTGGAAAGCCATCCAAATGGGAAATCTAACCTAGGAGAGGCTATTGAGAGAGGATTGAGAAGGGACTAGAAAAGCTCCCAGGGATTAGTGATGATGGCAAGATAGAAGGAAAGCCGGGGGATTGTAGGCTGTGGAGGGCACAAGGGGAGCCTGCTCAAACAGAAACTGTTGACTGTACTGTCGGTGCTGAAAAGCCTACTGCTGTCCAGCGCAGTAGGCCGCACTGCATGTGGCCACGGAGCACTTGAAATGGAGCTGGGTGAAATTGGGATGTGCTGTAAGTGTAAAAAGCAGTTGTACACTGGATTGTGGAGAGTTCGTATAAAAGAAAATGGAAAATATTGAGGATTTTAAGTAATGATTATGTGTTGAAATTTTCTTAGGACTTGGCTGGGTTAGAAAATTCACTTGCTTCCTTTTACTTTATAAAAATATAGCTACTGGAAAATTTGAAATTATAGATGTGGCTTGTATTTCTGTTGCAATTTGGCAACATAGAACTCATTACCAAACTTGGTAAGCAAAGACTGCCTAAGATAAAATAATACCTAGTCAATTGTTTCTGCACCATCGATACTGAACCATCATCATAATGTACGGTTTTACCTAAAATTAAATAGTATAACTCATCTCTGAAATTTCATCTAGACTTTTTATGTATGTGGCCTAATAATTTTACATTGACAACATAATATGTTGAAGTTAACTCTCAAATATATTTTTAAAAGATTTTAGCTTGCCTTTTCTTTCTTTCCTTTACATTATTAATTTTGTTTTGTTTCTTTGCATGTCTGGCCAGGAAACTTCATGGTGTTATGGTCAACCTGCCGCACAACTGTGTTCAAATCTGTCACCAACAGGTTCATTAAAAACCTGGCGTGCTCAGGGATTTTCGCCAGCTTGGTCTGTGTGCCCTTCGACATTGTTCTCAGCACCAGTCCTCACTGCTGCTGGTGGATCTACACCGTGCTCTTCTGCAGAGTCATCAAGTTCCTGCACAAAGTCTTCTGCTCTGTGACGATCCTCAGCTTCCCGGCCATTGCTCTGGACAGGTGAGATCTGTTAGCCAGGGGCACGACATGTGTTGAAAGAGGAGTCTTGTGATGCAAATGATCAACCGTTAATGGTTTATACACTGAGTTTTAATCTGCTGCTGTCAATGGAAAAAGAAGGAATGTTCAAAACAGAGCCTTACCAGGAGGACTGCTGCAAGTTCAAAACCAGCCTGAGCTACCTGGGGAGTCTCACAAGGGGTGGAGTGATTTAAATAGTCATGGACAATAAGTTCCCTGAGAAGAGACTTGGAGAGAGTTAATTGTGACAGTGCTGAAGGCAAGCTTTTGGGTCATGCTGTTGCTTTGGTTTGATTGGAATTGGCATTACTTGAAGTAGATTGTACAACTGATTTGTAACTCTGCAATTAGGAGTTTTTTTCTACAACATGAAAACATTTCTGGTAGAACAAGGGAATGATTACGTAGCTATTTAACTAATGATTAGATGATCCAGTTGGACCCAGCAGAGAACATGCAAGTTCCACTGGAAGATTTCTTTCTAAGGCTTCATATTGTTGTGGTTGTTTCCTCTGTCTATCTTTAAAAGAATGTTTATTTGGAAATTAATCTTACATTTAATTGTTGCTATAACTCATTATTTGGAAGTCAGAGTCCTTACCTCATGTATACACGCTGGTGGATGCTATAGTGCATTTCGTGTGCTGTCACCTATGTTCATGGTGCCCTTCTCACCGTCCCTTGTACTCACTGTTGTGAAACCTTTTTTAAATTTTTATTGTAGGAGAAGAATCCTGCTGTGTTACCAACTAACTTTGAACTCCTGGACTCAAGCAGTTCCTCCTGCCTTAGCCTCTCGAGTAGCTAGTTGTATATCTGGCAATGGGGCACCCAGCATGGGGGAAGCCATAAGCCTTTCAGTCTTTTAAATCCTGAATTCTTGGAGCTGGGGAGATTGCTCAGTGGAATAAGCACTTCCCTGGCAAGTACAAGGGCCTGAGTTCAATCCCTGGTTCTGCCAAAATAAAAAAAGTTAAATCCTGAATTCTCCTTTCGTGGATGTTTTAAAACAATTGGTTTGGAGATATAGTTTATGTATTAATAAAACTCAACTAGTTTTAGGTGTCAATTAGTGAAATTTAGTATATTCGTAGAGATGGGTAGCCAGCACTCCAACCTAGTTTTAACTTTCAACCACCCTACAATTGCTCCTCATTCTCATCTTGAGACTTTGACAACCACTAATCTACTTTCGTCTCTATACATTTGCCGGTTTGTGGATATTTCATGCATGTGGGACTCTGTAGTGTGTGTTCTGCCTTCTTTCACTTAGCCCATTTTCAAGGTTCATCCATGTTACAGCATGTTACAGTGCTTCATTTTATTGCCAATAATATTTCAATGGAGGGTGCCTCACATTTTTTTATACATTTACCAGTTGATAGACTTTTTTCACTTTTTGGCTGTTATTCATAATGCTGCTATGAATACTGAACTTTTTAAAAAATAGGATTCAACAAGTAGAAATGCATTATCCTGAACATTTGCCATTATACCTGGAAGCCATGTAATAATCCCTGTCGGCTATATCTGCGCTCCTGGTCCTAGACGAGGAAATATGCGAATAAGACATTTTTACTTTCTGCATCAACACAAAAGGTAAACAAATCGTTTTACTAGAAAAATAAGACTGGCAAATTCCTCTTTTTCAGAGATACAGATTATCTGCAGATATGAGAACAGTATAGACAAAGCCGAAGGGAAAACAACCTTTCACTTTGCAGCTATTTGTTTCACAGCCCCGAGTCAGCCAGTTAAATGGCTCCCCCACTTCCTGCACCATCTTCTAGACATTTATGCTAGGAAAATTATTTATAGTGAACCTGCATTCTTGTGTTGTGTCTGTTTCTTAACACATAATGGATGGAATATTGAGGGGACTTGAGTGAGCAGAGAGATGATAACCAGAGCCAGTAGGCTCTTAGGCATGTATTCATGGGTGTGGATGGGCCGTCACATATTTGTAGACTTGTGATTGGAAGTAATTGACTTGTATTCAGAGACAGTGAGAGCATGCATCATGTATGGACAACTTGCTCTGTTTTCCTTCCCAGAAAGAAACGTAGACCACATTCCACCATGTTCTGTCCTCCCCTGATCATCCATGGCCACTGCTGTACTTGCATCACATCTGCCTCAGCTTAGGATTTTATCCTCCCCACTGTCTCCCTGCCAGCCTCCACCACGGTGCTGCTTTCTCTCTGACGTCTTCACAGGTAGCCTTAGGTGCCCCTTGTTCTGCTGCTCCATCTGTAGAGCCATCATCTCCTTGTTGCTGACTGTTGATGTGCATGGCTTTCTTTCCATTGAGTATAGAGACATCCCTGTGTGCATCTGGGATTCTTTGCAAGTGTGTGTAACCTGGGGCCTATCACCAGACAGGTACAGAGGTAGCCAAGAATACTGGTCACACATGTTTTCTTGGTCCCTGGAGTGAGTGATGGTTACTATGATTGGGAAATCAACTCCAGCATTAGCTAATAGCAGAGATGGGGGCCAAGCTTATATGAAGGAGCTCACCATATGGCTAATGGCTGGTGGCAGCTCTTCGTGATAGATGTGGCCTGGGTCTGAAGGATTATTCAGTTCCCCCAAAATCACTGGTGTTATTAAAGTAAAGTGCATCTGGGATTCTGTTTAGGGGATTATAGAATGATCAAGTTAAATATTGGAAGGAACTAATGTCTCATCTGATTTTAATAAAAATTAATTGTGCAGGCCTTTTAGACTTACTAACTTCTCTTACAGTTATCATAAAAATGGCTGTTGATCCTGAATAATGTTTGTCAGTGGGCCCTTTCTGAGATCCATCTTTCATTTGAGGTTCTACCCTGAGGAGTTTTAAATGCTAACAATATCCAGTTTATAGACTGTGGTGTGGAACTGCTTGGGATTTGTGCATGTATAAGTTTTTGATAGTGCCTTTGAGTGTTCTGAACATTTTCCTGAAACTTCTCTACCCCATGTGCAATGCTTACAAGGTACTTATAAATTGAGAAATAGCTGTCTTTATAGCAGAAGAAGACATCCTTTATACTGAGGGCACTTTAGGATTTAATCCTGATGGCAGTAGTTATAAGCCTAACTCTGAGTTGAATTTATTTGCTTGTTTTCCTCATAGAGAGTCTTCAGGGTTACGTGAAGACTTTTTCTCTGCTCCTTTACAAAGTGTGTGTGTGTGTGTGTGTGTGTGTGTGTGTGTTTAGTAGTACTTCTCATTGCATACCACAGTCTTTAAAATTTAAGATCTGGTTTCCTGCATTCCCCTGTGGTTCCCTATCATAGACCAAATGAAAGAACCTGGCACTGTCACCACCCTCTCACCCACTTCTACTGATTTGGAGTCCCCCAACTTTACAGAGTACCCTTTGTGAAATCAGTTTCTTTTGTGTATCATGCAGGTACTACTCAGTCCTCTATCCACTAGAGAGAAAAATATCTGATGCCAAGTCCCGGGAACTGGTGATGTACATCTGGGCCCATGCAGTAGTGGCCAGTGTCCCCGTGTTTGCAGTGACCAATGTGGCTGACATCTATGCCATGTCCACCTGCACGGAAGTCTGGAGTAACTCCCTGGGCCACCTGGTATACGTCCTGGTCTATAACATCACCACAGTCATCGTGCCTGTGGCTGTGGTGTTTCTCTTCCTGATCCTGATCCGCCGGGCCCTGAGTGCCAGCCAGAAGAAGAAGGTCATCATTGCGGCACTCCGGACGCCACAGAACACCATCTCTATCCCCTATGCCTCCCAGCGGGAGGCCGAGCTGCATGCCACCCTGCTCTCGATGGTAATGGTCTTCATCCTGTGTAGCGTGCCCTATGCCACCCTGGTCATCTACCAGACTGTGCTCAATGTCCCTAACACCTCTGTCTTCTTGCTGCTTACTGCCATCTGGCTGCCCAAGGTGTCTCTGCTGGCAAACCCTGTGCTCTTTCTAACTGTGAACAAATCCGTTCGCAAGTGCTTGATAGGGACTCTCTTACAGCTGCACCGTCGGTACAGTCGGCGTAACGTGGTTAGCGCAGGGAGTGCAATGGCAGATGCCAGCCTGGAGCCCAGCATGCGCTCAGGCAGCCAACTCCTAGAGATGTTCCACATTGGCCAGCAGCAGATCTTTAAATCCACAGAGGATGAGGAAGCGAATGAAGCCAAGCTCCTTGACTTACAGGCCAGGGAGGTAGCTACCACCTGTCTGGAGGGAGAGCAAGCGGCACCTCTTGTACCACCCCCGGGCACAGTGGACTCTACGTCCCAGGTAGCACCAGCAGGCTCTGGGGAGCCTAATGCATTCCCTGACAAGTATTCCTTGCAGTTTGGCTTTGGGCCTTTTGAGTTGCCCCCTCAGTGGCTGTCAGAGACCCGGAACAGCAAGAAGAGGCTGCTTCCACCATTGGGCAATACCCCAGAAGAACTGATCCAGACGAAGGTGCCCAAGGGCAGGGTGGAGCGCAAGATGAGCAGAAACAATAAAGTGAGCATTTTTCCAAAGGTGGATTCCTAGTAAGGATTGTGAGTTTCTGGAAGCAACAGGGAGCTTCTATATTCCTGCCCTCCGTCACTCTGGCCATATGAGCTGTGTGATTTCATTGCAACCCACTGTGGGGTGTTTCTTCCTATATGAAACAGATGCTTTTGAATGAAAGAGAAGTTTATGTAAAATCAAATACCCTTACTGTGGGAGTGTCTGTATTTGTCTCAATGACCATGTGCTTAGTTAAATCCACATTCTTCTCTGCTGGACACTTGGGAACAGGTCTCAGGGTAGTTGTTCCATGTGCACTTTCTGCAGGTTCCTCCTTTTCCTGGGGTCAGCAGAGAAGATAGGTCCATGAATTTAAAGGGAGTCAAACAGGGACTGGTCTGTGGCCTGTTGGGAACTAGGGTGCACAGCAGTAGGTAAGCAAAGCTTCATCTGTATTTACAGCCATTCCCCACTGTGGGCATCACCCCCTGGGTGCTGCCTCCTGGAGTGTGAGCCTGCTGTGAAGTGCATGACTCCACCTTGGCTGTGCTCTCCTCTTTTATCGCCTACATGTCCCAAACCCCACTTCTCCCACTCCTGTGTGTGGAAAAGTTGTCTTCCACCAAACAGGACCCTGGAGCCAAAAAAGTTGGGGACGAATACTGTAAGGGAAGCACAAGATTATTATGGAGTGCAGTGTCCAAAAAATAAGATGCTTACTTGAGTAACAAATATGAGATAGGAGAACCCTTTCTATTGAGAAGGTAGGGTAATGGCATCAGACAGCATTTCTCTGGAAGCCCCAACCATTATGACTTATATTCTCCTGCTACCCATCATTCCTTTCACTGGAATGAGTAAGGATGACCATTTCACCACTGTGTGGCAGACCTGGTGATGGATGTGCCCAGGGCTAAGGGAGACTTGTCCTTCACTATCTCGATGTTCTCCTGGCCTCTCCAAAGCCCCAGGAAGAGCATCTGGACCTCAGTCATGGTCAGTGTCAGATGGGAAATGCAGCAAACGCTTCTCTGTGATCTGTTCCTTAAATTATGTTTTGTTTTTTTTTTTTAAACAAACAAAAAATTTGGAGGTGGGAAGAAAGTGTGAGAAATGCTCATGGCACTGTGTTGTACTCCACCTGATCTCACATGAAAGGTGCTATGTAACAATCTGTATGAGTAAAATATATTGGAAAAACCACCTTACACAAAATTTTGGAATTGTAAGGTGGCTAGAAATGCAAAGTTAATATGAGCTGGGTCTGTTGAAACATCAAGCTAAATTACCTGATTAGGAAAGGTAATTCTGTCTAAAAGACTGGCAAGAGTCAGAGCATGGCCAGCTGCTCTGGTCTTTTTGCAGTGTGTGCTCCAACTTGGGTTCTCATAGACAGAGATGGACAGAACAAGAAGATGGAGTCATTGTGAAGTGTCAAGGCAACACTCAGCCTGGACGAGCTCTTCACTTCCTTTTCCCAAGGAAGTTTCAGTAGGAACCAGGTTATGTGGAAGAGGTAGGGCAGTATCCTCAGCTCATTGCTCCCAGGGGCAGTGGTCCCAGGGGGTGGCTTCCACGTGGGGTTTGAGTCTGCTCAGGAATTGATCTCACCAGGCTGGATTCAAACCTACCATTTCATTCTTAATGAAGGCAAGTCAAGTGCCAGCCAGTTCTTTTTTTTAAGGCAATGATGGTGAACCTTTTAGAGTTTTCAGTGATAACAGACAGATGTGGCATACATGCTATAGGTCTGCAGCCATTGCTCGAGGGTGTTTTGTTCTTCTTAATGGTACTTGCGGGGCGAGTATGTCAGTCTCTTGTGCAAGCTTGAAAGGGAATAGTTGTCCTCATAGGCAGATTCCCATATGCCAATCGTAGTAATCCTAACATATTTTCTCCTTCAGCTGTGTTGGCCCTTGTTTCTTGGAGGAAGCTTAGCCCATAAGTAGGGAGTTTCCTTTTCTTTCTCTTGAGTGTGGTGTCTTGAGACCCCTGAATAAGAACACGAAGACCCTGCCCTGGAGTGGGAGTGCCTTCCTCTCTGTGTCTGTGCCTCACGGTGTATTTTGCTCACAGCAGAAACGGGAGCGGCACCTCTCTTGAGGCCCTGCTGCCTCCTGGGCCCTGTGTGTATGCCACCTGTCACTTCTAGCCCTAGTAGTTCATGCTGTGGCCCTTCAAGCTTATCTTTCAAAGCTTTCATAATTGTCGCAACTATTATCAAGGAGTAAAACAGCCAGAAACTTCTACCCAGCCTGTCAAATGTAGCCATTTTGGTGTTGTCCTGACAATGTATGTATGTATGTATGTATGTATGTATGTATGTATTTATGTATAAATAAATTCTGATGAAGCAGAATTTGGTTGAGTATATCTCTTTTGTATGTTTGAAGCAGACAGTTGACTTCCAACATGTATTTCTATACTCTTTGAAAAATAATTTTAATAAAAATGTAAAAACAGTTAAAAAGTTGTAGGAGCTGTGTCTGTTTTTTCTCACCTGATATGCAATCTGAACCTCTCCTGTCATAGTCTCAATGAAAAATATTCAGTTTTCTCCTATAAATGCAGATGCAGTGTTACAGTAGCATTTTCCTGGGTTGCTGGAATGGGAAAAAGCGAATTCCCAAAGGAGAAAATATGGCATGTGAGCAATTGTCACCAAGATGGACTGGACCTTCAGTAGGTGGCTGGACTGCCCAAACCTCTAGGGGTTTGGGCAGTCCAGGGCAGAGTGCTGCAAAGTCCTCTTGTCGCTTAGGTGGCAGTCAGTAGTACCGCAGTGAGGGTCTGGGCTCCTGTTTAAGTCAGACTGCCCCTGTTTAAATCCTGTCTCCATCACTAACTGGCTCTGTGACCTTGACCAGGTGACTGATTGCCAGGTCCCTTGGTTTCCTCTCTATAAGATGGGGTGGTGTGGAGGATGGAGATTATGACAGAAGCTGCTGGTGCTGACTCACTCAGTTCTGGTGTGGTTTAAGCCTCATCTGCGTGGGGCTTTTCGGCCTACATCCACTCACTTCCTTGTGAGCAATCAAGGCCTGGTTTCTCTTCTTTCTGCCCCAGGAGAGCCCCTATTTCAGAGATTAATGCATGTGGGACATGAGATTGGTGGCTAGGTACCCCGCTCCTGCCCTCCTACTGAATGAGTATGAAAGACATCTGTTCTCAAGAGGTCAAGCAGAACTGAGACCCTGTTATCAACCATGGTACCTAAATAACGCATTTTTATATTGGCCCTTCCTCCTTCTTGCTTTCTGCAGCTTTAGTCATGGCCTCAGGGATCGCCTTCCAAATGTACCACCTGCACAAAGTCCTTGTCTCAAGCTCTGTTTTCAGAGAAATCCAAGTGTGACAGCAAGACAGTTTGGAAGCAGCTGTGAGGATTAAATGAGCTGTGTCACACAAGTTCTTTTTTTTTTTTTTTTTTTAACCAGGGATTGAACTCATACCCTTGCACTTGCCAGGCAAACACTTATTTTTTTGAATTTTAGGGAAGGGTCTACAGGGTGTTCATAGTGGTCTGCCTGTTTACAGCTTCCCAAGTGCTGGGATTACAGGTGCGCCCCACCACTCTCAGTATCAATTACCTTCTCAGCGGCCCCAGGGGCGGGGCCAGCAAGGCAGGCC